GTGTTTTACTATTCCTAAACGCGGAAATCATATAAATTTTTGTAGAAAATAAAAAATATAGATTTTCCGGCGAAAACGAAGCTTTTCCAAATTAATTACCAATTTTTACCGTAGATATTAGAATTTTTCGCGCGTTCCCTAGTTGTTCCCTCGGAAGCTTTTGCCCGTCCGCCGACCGTCCAGTGTACAGTGGCGTCGTCTTGGCGGCAACCACTTGACGTGACCCTCCACTTTGGTCCCGGGTCCGGATCTGGCCATCTCTTCCCAAAAACGATGCCATCCCAATGCCCCACCATGTTGTCGAAAGCCTTTTCGCGGTGTCCGGATTCCAGTGAATATTTTAACGCATTATTAAAGAGTTAAAAAGTATACGAGGTATTGCCTACAGGGTAGACCTCCCGTTCCCCCCCTCTTTCCCCCTAAACAGGGGGGTTGGAGGGGGAAAGAGGGGGGCAGGGTGTCCCAAAGAAGACCCCCCCTCTAGCGGTCCGCAGTTGTGTCCAATTTTTACGATTTAGCCATCTCGAGGAGCTGAGAAGATTTGTTTCTTTCCGATTTTTGAACTTCCCGAATTTTTATGACAATTATTGACATTTTTGCGAAATTGGCTGAATTTTCGATGCTTTTCCCATGCCAGGGTTTTTGAGAAAAGTCCCATTTTTCAAATTTTTACATTTTTCCTCGCAGCCCAAGGTCGGCTTTTTAAAAGACATTTGAGAAAACACAGCCTGGATGGGAGTGAAGCCGATTAAATGGCGTTTGTGTGCAAAATTGCGTAATTTATCTCCAAAAAAAAACGATGAAAATCGGGTTAAAAATTCGGGATTTCAAAAATCGGAGAGAACACCGCTAGAGGGTTTTTTTTTTGGGAAACCCTGTCGATCTAAAGTTTTCTAGTTTTCTTCAAAAACGTGTTTTTTGTAACATGTTTATAATTTAAAGATTGTCTGATCAAGGTTATTTCGCGGCAGGTCCAAAACCGCAAATCATCATCAAATCGATATAAAACTTCTCAATTCCATTTCAAATCCCTCCAAATCTGATCACTTTATGAGTCAGACTCCCTACTAGGGTTGTTCTATGACTTGAGTCGCCACCGACTTGCGTCGGCGAAAATGCAAATGACTTGAGTCGGCAACGACTCGCATCGGAAAAATTATGAGTCGGAAAGGACGGATTGAAATGTTAACGATTCATTTCGTAAACGACGCGAGTCGCCAAACGACTTGAGTCGGAATGGAAATCAGTCGGATGGAACGACTTGAAATCGCGACGACGCAAGTCGCCGACGACTCAAGTCGTTTGAGTTTTCAAGTCGTCGGAAGTGAATTTATGCAAATATATGTTCATGGAAATCATTTTGATCGACCAACTCTATTCTTGTCTGAACAGAGAGACAACGTCGCACCACTCTTTACGCTACGATTGGACAAGAGATCAGGTCTCACCGAGCCTCTTCCATCGAAAGCTGTATCAAAACAGTGAACTAGCGGACAAAGGCCGCTTCGCGCTGCGATTTGATCCCCTATTTGATTTTGCAGCATAACTTTAGGAATTTGAATAAATTCACTTCCGACGACTTGAAAACGCAAACGACTTGAGTCGTCGGCGACTTGCGTCGTCGCGATTTCAAGTCGTTCCATCCGACTAATTTCCATTCCGACTCAAATCGTTTGGCGACTCGCGTCGGGTTACGATTTGAATCGCTCCGATTTTAAATCGCAAGTCACGGTTTTAAAAGCATACGATTGAGTTCGTCAGTCGACTCCAGTCGTTTACGAATTGAATCGTCAACATTTCAATCCGTCCCTTCCGATTCATGATTTTTCCGACGCAAGTCGGTGCCGACTCAAGTCATATAACAACCCTACTCCCTACCCAACTATCCCTTCCCCCCAAATCAACATTACAATCATCCGCCCGGCGACTATATTTTCGTCTCCTCCGCACGGCGGTGATTCATATGGTCCCGTCGCGCGTATAGTCGCGTTTATACCCCATTTTGGTGAATTTTTCCTGCAGTTCCTAGTCTCAAACTGCCCTCTATTCTTTCCGGCTGTATTTAAAGAACATCTCAAAAAAACAAATCCGATTTTTTAGATGGTCGAGGGCCCGACACTATCCTCAATCCTCTCGCGGGCCGACCTCTGCCGAGCCGTCCCCGAAAATACCAAAAAATTGGCGGAAAAGGTCCAACCGACCGAAAATCGACTAGAATTGCAGGTGGATTTTATAGAAAAGATTTATAACAATTTTTCAGGCCCATAATGTATTTTATCGGGAGGCAAAACCGCCGGACAACCACTACGCAAAGGCGTCAATCGTCTTTCTTCATGGTGGGTTAATTTTTGGCTAAACTATGCGAGTCTTCCACCTACTGTAACTCGGCTTTTCTTTATGCTATATAAGCGTGTAAAGTATACCAAAACACTCGCAAGATTAAGACAAACATTTTGGTATACTTCACAAGCCGGTAGCCCAATGAGGGAAAGAAACAAAAAAAACGCGGCCGGCTGCGCCAACCAATTTTCCGAATTTTAATTTATTTTATTACTTTAAAAGCCATAGAATTTTTCGATTTAGGACAAAGCTTCTCCTCGACAACCTGGACGGAAAATGGGCTGCTCTCAAACATGGCCGCACACGGATATCACTGCATAGCCCTCGATCTGCCAGGGTCCGGCAGGACGGTTGGACCGGCAATTCCTGCTGAGGTATTTACGATTCCGATTTCTGATTTAATAATTACATTTAAAATAAAATAAATCATCGATCGTTAAAGTATATCCTCATTTCTAGGAGAAGCCCTCCTTTTTCTTGTCGTTCATCTACGGGCTCGGCCTGAAACAGCCGATGGTAGTGGCGGCGAGCATGAGCGCCCAATATATCTTGCCACTCCTTAATAGGTATCCTAGACGAATTGGAGCGTTAATAGTATTATCTTGTTTAGGGATATCTTTGCCTGTGTCGTTGGGGTAGCGCTGTCCAACACGCAGGAGCTGGTCGATGTTCAGAGGTAGCTGCTTGAGCTTCGGTTGACAAAAAATATTTTAGGCTTCGCACGCCGTTGCTCTGCGTCTGGGGTGAACGCGACACATCGTTGGGCCCGTCGTCGGCAAATAATTTGAAGAATTTGCCGAATTCTAGGTAGGAGGAATTATCGATTCATGAAGCCTAAGTCAAGCTTAAGCCTAAGCCAAGGCCTGGCCAAGCAAAGCCTAAGCTAAATCTACGCCAGACTTAATCTCTAGCCTAAACCCAAGCCAAGCCTAAGCCCAAGCCAGGGTCAAACTTAAGCCTGACGAAGTAAGGCCTAAGCTTAAGCTAAGTTTACGCCGAACTTGATCCCAAGCCTAAGCTAAAGCTAAAGCGCGAGTCAAGCCCTAGAAAAAGCCCAAGCTAAGCCTTAAAATAATGTTAGGTTAACGCTGAACTTTATCCCAAGGCTAAGCCTAAGCCTAAACCTAAGCCAAGCCTAAGCCTGAACCAAGCCTAAGCCAAATCAGCCAACCCCCAAGCCAAGCCTAAAGAGTTTGTAGAGTCCGTAGTTTCAGATTACAACAAATCCAAGCGGCCGGCCATGCAGCCCATCTCGGCAACCCGGAACAATTCCAAAGCGTCCTCGCCAATTTCTTGGACCTCATCCGCTCCTACCACGCAATTCCCATGTAAAGACACGCACGATATTGTGCGATGTTCCCCATAAAAACAGATTCTATTCCCCTCGGATCTCTTAGAATATTTAGTCACTTCTTCTTCCCTTATTGTTTCCATCCATCGCTGCCTTTCTTGAAATGCCATCATCGGGTACACACTGACCACACCTTCTTTCACTTTAATAGTTCAACGAATTGATCGACATGTTGCTAATCTGTTTCTATCTCTCGCTCTCTCTCGCTCGCTCTCTCCATCGCACTCTCTCCCCAAAGCCATCTGATGAGATTCTTGGTCTTGCATTAAAAAATCGTCTTATTTCTGTGGATACCTTACACAACACCGAGTGCCAACCTATTGATCGATAAAGATTTATATGAATTTTTGAATGATTTTTGACACTATGCGCGGCACAACATGGTGCTTACGATGAAGCTAAAGGCGGTTTTCGATTTTTCGATTTTCGAAAAAGAGAGTGAATGGCCGCGATACTAGCTTGGTCGAGAAATAGCATCAGAAAGAGCATGGTCGGATTAGTGGGACTGCATAGTTTTGAAAGTTTAACAAAGTTAATTTTTGGGGTTTAAGTGGCCGTTAAAGTTGACTACCTCGAAAAATACGTTATCAAAGAAGCTGAAAATTTGTAACAATACTTGATTTGGGGCGAGGATTATTTTTCTAATGCATTTCGCAGCATGAAAATGGCCGGAACATCGGAATCTCGTGTACTCTAATGAGCATTTCAAGAATTTCTATTTAATAGATTTTCGCCGTTCTGGAATACACTTAAAAGATGCGGAATTAAATTCTACATCGAATCCTGGGTTTTTAGCTTGGCGACAGATCCCTTAAAATGTTTATGATGTTTGATATTTTTGTGTAAATTATGTATTTCTAAGCTGCTAAGTTTCTTCAGAAACGTCAAAAATATCCAGCTATTTCAGGTACATTTTTCGGGACTTTAAATTTTTTTACTTTACTCAATAGGGCGGGAGTTTCTGGCAAAACCCCACCTCTCCTCCCGACTTACTCAAATGTTTGGAAATTTTGGATCTAGCCGACAAATTTCATAGGACCTCCCCCTTTCGCAAGTTGCTCCATCCGGTGGAGCCATCGAGGGGGGTAGGAGAAGCCGCCTGCTTCATCCTCAATTTTTGATAGATTCCGGACACGCGACCCTCCGTCACGCCGTCGCCCCGACAACTCCATCCACATCAGAATCCCCTCGTACCCCCGAAACCAACTTTCGGGAAACACCGTGAATTCGGAATTTTCGTGGCCGGGCTTCTTTGACAATTTCGACATCAGGCGGCAACGACTCAACGCTTTGAGTTTGACAACGGAAAATGGTAGGCATAAATGGTTTTTCTAGGTTGATACATCTTCCTAGGTACTGGACTATTAGCGGGGGGACATTTAATCGAGGAAAACTAATTTTTATCAAAATCTTTGAAAGTTTTTGAGTAAATGTATGAAAAATTACCAAAAAATCAAAAAATTTGCGGTTTTTAAAAATGTGCAAACATTTTGTAGCGTGGTAGTAAACAAAAAAAAATACTAACATCATAAAAATACACTATTTCTTACTAAAATGTTTTGGCGGAAAAATAGGTAAGACTTCAGACAACCGCCCTCCCCCCCCCAGCCGGCCTCCATCTGTTGTATCTCGGCTCCCTGTTCATCTACAGGTGTGTAAAGTATACCAAAATGCTCGCCACAGCAAGACGAACATTTTGGTTTATTTTACACACCTGTAGATGAACAGGAAACCTTGATACAAAAGTTGGGGGTCGGCTGGGGTTATCTGGAGTACAGCCGCAAAATAAATATGAGTCTCCCTGCTAACGGTCCAGTACCCCTTACTACGGTAACGCGACGGTCACATTTTAGATTGGCTGGGTGCACATCACCGTCTCCACCCTTATTATCCGCAAATATGGGCTGGAAGTGTGGAAGGAAATTAAGTAAGTGGAGGATCGAAAAATCCCGTACTTTGTTTTCGTTTTGTTTTGCTCTGATACCTCTAATTTTACGCACTCGTACGTCCGGTGGGTACGTTTTTAGCGACCCCCATTTTTGATGTTTCCACATTTTTTTGACTATTTTGAAATCAAAATCCTTTAGAAAATGATCTTTCAAAAAACTAAAAAACATAAACTTTTCGGCGAAAGGTACCGATTTTCGATCAAAATTGGAAAATAACGAAGTTTGCTAACTTTTTAAGTAATTTTTGCATTTGAAATAATTTTCAAATTTGCGAAAAACAATAAAAATCCTGGCTATTCCTATTAGAAATAAAGCACCCACTCCCGATAATTCCAAAGAACCAAAACGCCTCACTGTCAGTACGTCAGATCGTAACCCACTTTCAGAAGAAAAGCCGGCTTTTCCGATGAGACCGAATTCGAAGTGCAGCAGTACTACGACGACAGCGATACGTTCAGAATTTTCCGCGCCGCCGCCGCGACACTTGGTGGGTTCTGGTAAATAGGATAGCGATGTTTTTCTTCTATTCCAGGCGTATCCGTGGACGACATGTGGGAATTGTACGGTGACCATTTGATCACTTATGCCAGCGAGACGGGGTGGAACCGGATGTTGGCGTGCATGGCTGATAATCTACAGGTAGCAGCTGCCGGCGAAATTTTCGACGGCATACAGCGCTTCAAAATTCAAGCGTTGGTGTCGAAATCTACAAAAAATCTGGCTTAAGTACAGTTTACCCCTCTCCCCCCCAGCCGACCCCCATCTACGGTATCTCGGCCGCCTGTTTATCTACAGGTGTGTAAAGTATACCAAAATACTCGCCAGAGCAAGACAAAGATTTTGGTGTACTTTAAACACCTGTACATGAACAAGGAGCCGAGATACAACAGTTGGGTGCCGGCTGGGGGGGGGGTGTAAACGACACTCTAACCAAAAATCTATACAAACGCCGAAATTCAGGACTTTCTGGACAACTTGAACTCGATGCACTACTTCATAGATCAGATCGCGTTCAAGTCGGAGATGAAGGGCCCCTCGTTTCAATGCGAAGACCAGGGGGACGGGTTGGTTCTAGTAAGATCTAATAATGCTCTTAGAACCCTGCGACTGCACTACTTCTCGAATCGCCAGGGTCTGTATCCCATCGTCAAGGGGTTGGTGCGCAAAACGGCCAAATATCTATTTGATATCGAAGTTTCGGTGGGTGTCGTAGAGTAGCTTTCCTTACAGTTATATCATGTTGTTCTAAGCTTATGATTTTGCAGATCAACGTCCTCGAACGTCAACAGGAGCGTCGAAAAAGCGGCCTCGTGGAGCATGTCATTTTCAGGTAAAATTTTGTAGCCATTTAAGAGATGGGAAGGCGCAGTTTTTGGGATCGTTTTCGGTATTCTCATGCGATTACATGGGGGGTTTGTGGCACGCACACAAGCCGAGCGGGTGCGAGTACTTGTAAGGATTTCCGAGGGGGAACTAGCCAATATAGGCAATTCTAAATCCGGCAACCGGACGGCCCTAAATTTCGTTATAAATCGGAGGATGCGACTATCTACCACTTGTTCTTAACTATTGCTAGAGGATAAAAACTACAGATATTTAAACTTTAAATTATCAAAAATTAGGCTCGAAAAACTCCGGTAGAAATCTTTAGGTGTTCAGAGGAAGGTCCGAATGACCCAACCAATGGCCAATGTATTTTTCAACTTTGGTTGTCAAACATGGTTTCTAGACTGTTTTTGTAAGAAGAGTTGTTGCTGCCGTACTATTAGGAATATAGTTAAAAGCCCACGCCTCTGCCTTAGCCTAGCCCCAAGCCTGAGCTAAAGCCTGAGCCTAAGACTGACTTCAACCCATGCCTAAGCTTAAGCCTATGCCTAAGCCGAACCCAAGCGCCCAATATCGCATTCTAGCGTCGGAGCCGACGAACGGCACAAAGAAGGCGAACGACTGGCCCATCGATTCCGCCGTAACAACCGTAGTCAATTGGAGATGGTTCCAGAAACGGTAATCTACGGCCATAGCCATTTAAATCTACAAATTCCAGAAACTCCTCCGTACACTCAGCACCAAAGATTTCAACGTCATCTTCCCGTTCCACATCTGCTTCAATAAGCAAATGATTGTCGAGCATGTCGGTGCGTCAAGTTGCAAATTTTAGCACCTGAGGTATTCTATTAATACGCTGATACCTTTCAGGCCAATTCATCCTCTGCGAGTACGCATTGGCCGACAAAAAGATGGTGAAGCTAACTGATGTCGTACAACTTGTCCAGCCGGCCGATATTCAGGTACTCCGTAAACTTACGGTAATCCTGATCGCCACCCACTTTAGCTGACGTTCAAGAACATTCTGTCGTATTTGAACACGCTGTTCATCTTCCAAATGCGCCACCATGCGAGGAGGAACGAGGTTGCAAGTGCTTGAAGATAAATGTTATAAAATGGGAGTTTTAGCAGGACGCGACGTGCAGTGTGGCAGCTTTTCAGCAGCCTTTATGTTTGAAAGGTGATCTCTCTGGTTCTCTCAAAGTCTCTTGCTGTCTCTCTCGCTTTATCTCTCTCTCTCTCTCTCTCTCTCTCTCTTTCTCTCTTGCCAGAAGTACCTCTATCTCGTCTCTCGCTCTCTCGTTCACTACCCCTTTCTTGCTCTCTCCATTTCCCGCTCTCTCCCTTTTACTCTCTCTCTCGCTCTCTCTCTTGCTCTGGCTCTCTCTCACTCATCCTCTCTCTCGCTCTCTCTTGCTCTCGCTCGCTCTCTCTCACTCTCTCTCTATCTGTCTCTCTCTCGCCAGAAGTGCTGCCCTATTTTACGACCTTCTTTAAGGCCAAATGTACCCACTAGCCGAAGGAAATACAATTCTCTTCCTCTGCTCCCCTCATGTCACCACCGTGCGTGACATCCTCAACCTTAACCTCTGCATCTCGGATATGCCAATGCACGACGCGACTCGAGATCTTGTCATGCTCAACCAAAGTCGCATCTGCCAAATGGAGCTCAAGTCAGCGGCCTAAAGTTTTTTTGACTTACCTGACGTTTAGCAAAAAGCTCGAGGACACAGTGCGACGTCTTCGCGGGATGGCCGAAGAGCTGGAGACGAAGAAGGGCCAGGTAAGTCTGGGTGCATGGAATCGACATGGTGCGTTCAAATCCGATGAACTTCAATTTAGACGGATCGGCTTCTTTTCGAATTTGTGCCTGCACAGATTGCCGATGCTTTGCGCAATCACAAACCGGTTCAAGCACGTGAGTAGTAGTTTTTATGCCAACCCCAAAGATGAAAAACAGAGGTTGGATTTTGTAAAAGCCTAAGTCTGAGTCTAAGCTTAACCTAAGCCTAAGCCTGAGCCTAAAAATAAGCTTAAGCTTCAGGGCAAGCTAAGCCTATCGCTGCCGTACCTGCCCTTTAGCCTCACGCTAGCTGAACCTAAGCCTAAGTTTAAGGCCAAGCCCAAGCCAAAGTTTGAGCGCAAGCTAAGCCTAAGAAAATTGCGAGCCGATCCTACTCCTTCGTCTGATCCTAAGCCACAGCCTATGCCTAAGCTTAAATCTGAGCCCAAGCTAAAGCGTGAATCTAAACCTAAACGAGGCCCAAGCTTAAAGGGCTGCCGACGGCATGTGTCGATCCCCCCCATCAACAAATTGGCAAGTAGCCAACAGGGCAGAGAGCGCGCCCTGGGGAGAGGCGCAGAGACATTTTCTTTCCAGCGCGTAACCGATTGCCTATGCGGCATCCCTTTAAGCCTAGCCTAAGCTCCCACGCCTCAATACAAACTGATTCAGAAGAATTCGGTGAATGCGCCGTCCTGTCGGCCGATATGCCCGATTTTCCGACAATCAACGTGCACTGTAAACCGGCACAAATGATCGAGCTGATCACCGACCTTTTCCATCGATTCGATCGGTTGATCGACTTACACAAGGTGAGGATTTTAGGGCGTCACAGTTGCGTGAATATTGAAGAAAGGCTTGTCGACCCCATTTTCAGTGCTACAAAGTGTTGTCGTTGATGGATTCCTATTTGGTGGTGTGTGGGGTACCGGCCCCGTGTGAGCGATATTGTGAAAAGGTTGGGCATGGTTTTTGCGATGAGACGCCCTTCCTAGATCCTCAACCTAGCGCTGGGCATGATTCTGGAGGCTCGACTCGTCATCGTGCCCGAGCTTAACCTATCGGTCCGGGTAATGTGCCTATAGCTGCCTCAAAGTGTCTCTCACCTTACAGCTCCGCATCGGTGTCCACGTGGGGCCAGTTGTCACCGGGATTGTTAGCCAGAAAAAGCCGAGGTAAGCTTTAGGTTAAACTCCATTGTAATGCAAGCTTAGATACTGCGTCCTTGGCGAAACCGTCGCCATCACCAAAGCCATTTGCGAGCACAACGACGCCGGAAAGATTTTGGTCAGCAACGCCGCCAGGACGTAGGCCGACCTTTCGTGCTCTCGATAATTTTGCGAACCCTTTAGCATGGTGACAAAGGGCACCAAACAGCAACCATCAGCCGTCTTTGTCTTCGCTTCGAAGGTATCTAACATCCACGTAACATCAAAGAAAATCATCTTCCACCCAAAAACACGAAAAAATCAATAGTGCCCACCTTTCAGGGCTACGTTGACATTGGGACGATGAAGATGCTCACCCACTACCTGGAGCGCAACGAAAAAATGAGCGCCTGGGAGATTACGGATCGGCCGAAGGGTGAGGGGGAGAGAGACGGGGTACGGTAACCGAGGCGCATCATTTAGGAGAGGAGCAGACGATCGATGGATATCGCGAATTGCATACCGATGAGGGGGCCAGAGAATGGGAGGAGGCCAGAGAACATGCTCAGCGGGCCATTCGGGTAAGTCGGATTGAGTCAGGCTTAGGCTTAGCTTAGATGTAGTTTACAAGGAGTCGTTTTTAGATGATATTGGAGTGTAGACCTAGCTAGTTCGATAGAGAAGAAAATTCTGAGCAAGATTTCGTTTTCCAAATCTGCTAACCGTGTATTGTATTCGATAAAAATTAATTTGAAAATCATTAATTTCGCCATCTTTTCTCACCTGATCCGCAGGTTTGGCTGGGGTCGTGCGCGTGAACATAGTCCCCTTCAGACCCTTGAAGCACCACGGTCGCGTGGCATATTGGTAGTGCACTTGCTTTATACGTTTTTATCTTTTTTTTGCCTTCGGGTTCGACTCCTAGCTAGTGAAACTCTTTTGCTTTTTTGCCTGTGATGCCAAATATGACCTCAATAGCGTTAAAAGCCAAAAAGCAAAACAGCTCATCAAAAAAGTTTCCGAAGCTCGCGCATAAATCTGCAAAAGTTTGATAGGCGTCTGCAATATCCACCAGGCCATCATCTCATGCGGATGCTGGTTCGCATTGCGGCCTATGTCCCGGGCCTGATCCATGTGTGGCAGCGTGGCGCCACGAAATTTTTTCATTATAATTCATTTTTATTGAACACAGTACACGTTTGTGCACGTGCTTCAAGGGTCTGAAGGGGACTATGTTCACGCGCACGACCCCAGCCAAACCTGCGGATCAGGTGAGAAAAGATGGCGAAATTAATGATTTTCAAATTAATTTTTATCGAATACAATACACGGTTAGCAGATTTGGAAAACGACATCTTGTTCAGAATTTTTTCTCTATCGAACTAGCTAGGTCTCGCTCAAAAACTCCAATTTCACCTAAAAACGACTCCTTGTTAGGCTTACTAGGGAAGTGCAAATAAAAAATCCAGCAAACCGCTTAGCAAAAATATGTGTCTGATAGAGTCGGCGACGGGGATTCCGAAACTGCAATCAGAATTTGCAAAATGCTTAATACAAAAAAGTTATGAGCATTTTAAGTTTTCAGCACTTGTTGCGCCCTCCCTTATGAACCCCTCCCAAAGAGGGGTGTCCACCTGTCGAGTGGTGCAGTGGGCAACTAGCCTGCGTCTGGGGCGGAGGGTCTCTGGTTCGATTCCCGGGTTATGCAAAATTTTTTGCTTTTTGGTCAAAGTCAACAACTTTAGACTTTTTCAAAGTTTCAAAGTCCGAAATTTAGATTTTTGAACATTTTCTTTATTATTGACTGCGTGTAGGCTTACCTTACGAAAAAAACAGAAGTGAATTTTTTTAGTGCCCTACGCGCGAAAGTACTTGCACTCCCGCCAGCACTTTGTAATCGGTTTCATGCATTTAAAAATTAAGAGAACGGCCTCTTCGACTTTGAAACTTTGAAAAAGTCTAAAGTTGTTGACTTTGACCAAAAAGCAAAAAATTTTGCATGGCCTGGGAATCGAACCACAGACCCTCCGCCCCAGACGCAGGCTAGTTGCCCACTACACCACTCGACAGGTGGACACCCCTCTTTGGGAGGGGTTCATAAGGGAGGGCGGATCTAGTGCTGCAAAACTTAAAATGCCCATAACTTTTTTGTATTAAGCGTTTTGCAAATTCTGATTGCAGTTTCGGAATCCCCGTCGACGACTCTATCAGACCCATATTTTTGCTAAGCGGTTTGCTGGATTTTTTATTTGCACTTCCCTAGTTAGCTTAGGCTTGCCTTGGGCTTGGCTTAGGCTTAGCTTAAGCTTAGCTAGGCTTCGCCTAGGCTTAGTTGAGGCTTAGCCTAGGCTTAGCTGAGGCTTAGCTTAGGCTTAGCTTAGCTTAGGGTTTAGGCTTAGGCTTGATAGCTATCAAAACAATCCATATTCGCAGGTTCTTGATGCGATGAAGCCCCTCCCATCCGAACAGGGCACCGGTACCCTCCAGAAATTGAAGGCCATCAAAAAACGGTGGGGTTTTTTCTACCTTTTTAGATGATCTCTTCAGGCTTGGCACCGGCCGAAGTTCCGATAGTGGGGTTGGCGAGGATGGATCACCGCGCACCGAGAGTGTCGCCTGCTCATTGATGTGAAAATAAAGATTATTATGTGTGCGTGAAGATGTGTTCTATTAAAGAGATTGAGAAAGAAAAGCCTGCTATAAGACAATTTTAGAAGCCGTCCACATTTCGAACAGCGAAACTAAACATCAATTTGGGTTGTGGAGCATTGCGGAATTTCGGCCGTGGCGGAAACTGGAAAGCCCAGACGAAATTTCTGAACGAGCGCGATGAGAGGAACCGATCTTTTTTCGCCCAAGCCTAAATTTTTTATAAATAGCTGATGCGTTTCTAAATGGTTTTTAACTATTCCTGGGCTTAAAAACCACAAAATTTTAGTTAAAAAATTTAATTTTGGGTCGAAACATCCTCAGGAAACTTCAGGACTCGCTGAGTGCGGACGGACGAACCCAAAATGAGCAATTTTCGACTTTTTCAAACATTTTTCAAACTTTCTTTTGAAATTTGGTTTTACTGTAAATATAATTAGAAATTACCAAAAACAATTTGAAAGCACTTTATACTAGATTACTAGGTTTACTGGTTAACTGGGACGCGAAAAATTGGCTCCCCTGCCATGGATCCAAAAGAACCGATTTTTCCAGCGTTCACACAAGAAACCTACCGTCAATTTGGCTCATTGCGTCTCGTAACCTTAACTTTCACATTTTCACTTGCCCAGGTCCCCCGATTCCATGTGTGACTAGCGAACCCTAAGCACCGGCTAGGATGAGATCTGCTTGGGCGGTGAGGATGAGTATAGAGGAAGGGCCAGAGGGCTGCCTCGACCAGGCTCGCTGGTAGCCGAAAAATGGGGGAATGTGTCGGCGGAGATAAGCGATAAGGGTCACCGGGCCAAGGCCATTCTATCCATCCATCCATCCATCCCATACCAACCCCCATCCACCACCCACTAGCCCCTTGCCTTCCTTCCCCCCTTCTTCTTCTTCACCTTCATCCGATCCGGGTCGCCACCAAATCTCGAGTCTGCTCACTACGGTATAATACAGCATCGAGATCTGGCCTTGGCTAACCCTAGCTGTGGCCATTCACTTTTTGAGCTTTCACTTTGGCTTTTATCTTTAGGTTACTGTAGTCCGATTTAGCATAAAGAGGCTTGTACTACACTGTTAGCGGGGGAGGCTTTCAACCGCGGTAAACCCGTTTTTCCCCGGTTTTACGTAATGTACTTTGATACTCATTTCATCGATTTTGATTGCTCAAAATTTATAAGACAATTTGAAAATTTTGCTTTGTGTTGTAACAGCTAAATCATATCATCTAAATTATCTAAAATGAAATTTTTGTAATTTTTCATGTATGTTTGACCAAGAAGGCCAAATTTTTGCAAAAATTTAAACTTTAAACTTTTAAACATATATTTAAACTTTTAGAAATTGATTATACCTAAAAACCGCATTAAATACTATAAAAAGCATTTATGTGATAGATTTTGAAAAATTTAGTGTCTCTTCCTAAAAATTCCTCCCCCCGCTAACAGTCCAGTACCTAGATGCAGCGGGTTTTTTCGCTAGAAAACGACTTTTCTGGTTCTTAGCTTACACGTAATTTTCTACCTGGCCCCGGATGAGGCCTGCTAGCATGGTTTTTGGGGAAAGCTGTTAACTACGGGGTGATCCGGCCTCGATATTGGGGAAAAGGAAGATTTAAGAACATAAAACTGCCTAATTTCCAAAACGTGTATATCAAATAGCCAAATTCCATCCTCAAATCTTGATTCTCGAATATCTGGTGTCACCTCCCGAATGACTCACCCAAGATACCGTAACCGGATGTGCCCGAGAATGACGCTATTTCGCGATCCCCCCTCTTTCCCCCGAGGGGGCTATCCATGCATATCGTGGTGCCTCGATTTTCAGGGTGCCTTTTAGGAAAAGCACCAGGATTCTCTGGAAGAGGGAGACCGGTTCGTCGCGTTGTGGTCATGTTCCCCCTACCCCCTTCCCCCTACAAAAACCCATTGAGAGGGGGTGGATAGACGGGATCCCGCCCCGATCCTCTTAACGGGTCACCTTCAACGGTGCCGTCGAGACACATTTTTGCTTCTATCTTTAACCGCCTTTAAAGGGATCGGCAAGGCATCGCCATGGATTTGATTGTCTCGGAATTTTTTTCTGAATTGTGGCACCTTTTCCGTGCTGACGCAATTGAACGTTTTTGAAGCGCTGCGTATCCCGGGCGTAGAAAATTCCTCATCGAACCCATAGCTAATAAAATCCATAAATTTTGCCTTTCTAATCCCTTAAAGACGCGGCACTGGATAAGCCAGGTTTTTGGCGCGAATATCGGAATTTTAATTTGAAATTTTAGGCCAGAACAAGCTTTAAAAACGGTCAATATAATGTTTTCACAGGTAAACTAACTGGATTTCAGGAAATTACAAAATTTGGCCCTTTTCCAGGAATCTTCAGTTTTAAATGAAATTTTCAATAAAATCTACTTTTTCCGTTTTGTTCGTCTCCAACAAAGGTTATAATTTTCGGCTTTCCAGGGACTTGCGATGATCGTGGGCCTGGCGTTGCTGGGGCTCGTCCCTTTAATAGGGGCCGTCTTCGAGTGCGGAAGCCAGGAGACCACCGCTTTCGTGCGCACATCCAGGGCACGGCTTGACGGGACGCCGCTCGTCGTCTCTACTGCCGGTAGGTGGAGAAGTTTCTTGAGGGGCAAAATCGATCCGCTTGAATTACACAACGGAGCGTCCGCTTACAAGGAGACCTTTTTTGTGTCATCGGGGCTTCGGTAAAGACAATCTACTGAAGAATTTTGCGCTGATTCCAAAGATGCTGTGAAAAATTTGCCGCGTAACGATTTCCTCCGGTTCCGAACGATTTAATTGAGGAAAACCATAGCAATTGGCTGATTTTGCGTGTTTCTCGGTTCCTTGTCGTCCATAACTTCCGGAAAACTGCGATTCCGCAAATTTGGTAAACGTGTTCGGAAACAGTGCACAATTCTGCATAAGATCGCTTGGTCCCAACTTAAAATCCCCGACGACCCTAAGAAACGTTCCCTTGTTAGCTTGCGAGGCTGCACTTTATTTTACCCAGCCGGAATGTTTGGCTATAACTTTTTTATCTTACATTATTGTAGGCTGAAATTAAAAATCTTAGTATATTTTTGGACGGGTTATAGAATGGTGTTGCAAAAATCCCGACAAAATAAGCGATAATACCAAAAACTTTGGGAGCCTTCGGCTGTGGCGGGGGTGGAGGTGGGGTAAAGTATGCTGTGAAAAATTTGCCGCGTAACAATTTCCTCCGGTTCCGAACGATTTAATTGAGGAAAACCATAGCAATTGGCTGATTTTGCGTGTTTCTCGGTTCCGCATCAGTCGTGTAGAGTCTTACCGCATCCGAGGAGGGAATATTAGGATTTTTTCAAGAGACTTAACCAGTTCGATTAAAAATTAGTTAGATTTGAACCAAGAAATCCCCGGAAATGTCGAAACCTTATAAACGATTTTTCAACAGTGCTACCGTAACCCGGCCGACTTTCCCTCCCACCGCAAGTGCACCCCAATTTCACCCACCCCAAAAATCGACCCAATTCCCGGCGAGAAAAAGAGCTGATTTTCCGGAGGGTTGATTGCAACGTGATACACTCAGTGATTCCGGGAGGGGCGAAACGGGTCAACGCGCATTTCGGTCTCCTTTTCGACGGGAAAAAGGGAAGAACTTTCGCTTTAGAGGGAATGTCTCCCCCTCCCCTCTGACAAAGCGTTGACCCACTTACCCAAAGCGGGGAAAGGCTGGGAAGCGTTTCTCCCCCCGCTTTGACTAGCCAAAAGCCAACAGTCGAACCGATGTAGGGGTCAGGTCGATTGAACAACGATTTTAATGATTGAAAGGTATTAAAAGCTGTGAATGTTGTCTTTAGGGAAGTAAGGAATTAAAGAATCTGGCATTTTATTGGATAAAAATTATAATTTTCGATCAGTGTGTCGACATTAATTTTGTCGAAAAATCATTCTGTCGAATTGAAATTACGCCGAAGAAGTGTGTTAAAATTTCAAATTTTCTGAATTTTTGAGATGAGCAACTGAGGCAAAAACCATTGAATTTTGGACCAGAACGAAATTTCGACAAAATGACTTTGAGACAGCATGAATTTTGAGGAAACTATTTTCGACAAAAATGCTTTTGGACAAGATGATTAGCGACAAGACGATTTTTGCTGAAATGCATATAACAAGAATTACAGATGTGCCAAATTGAAGCCAAGATAAATCATAGTAGTTTTCAGCAGAAATCAGTAAAATTATCAGATCAACGATGAAAACACCGATAATCCGAAAGGAAGACGCTGACAAATTGAATTCCGGTTATTAATTTTGCAAAATTGGCTGGTGAAACGGGGTGCCAGTCGAAGACTTTTTATATTCTCGATCTAATTGTTGAAAGACAAAACAAAACTTATCTCATTTAAGCGATCCTCCAACTTGTCGTATAAATTCCAAAAAAATCTATCTGAATTCGGACAATTGCACTTTCTCGAGCTTTGGAAAAAGTAAAATATGATAAGCTTATCGAAGTTATGTTATTTTGGATTCAATTAACATAATTTTACCAAATTTATGAAGATACTTATATATTTATCGGATTCCTTACATATCTGGCAAAAAAATTCCGAAAAATTGCGGAATACAACCCAAACCTCACCTCTTTTTCCAGGCCACGACTTGACCTGTGCCCAGTACTGCCGCAACAACATCGAGCCCACCACCGGAGCCCAGCGCGTCTGCGCCTCGTTCAACTTTGACGGACGGTAAAATTTCCCGTTCCTGCAAAATTCTAGGACTTTTCAGTGAGACCTGCTACTTCTTTGATGATGCCGCCGCCCCGGCCGGCACTGGACAGTTGACGGCCAACCCATCAGCCAACAACTTCTACTATGAGGTTGGGAGCGTGATTTTTGATCAGAATGTTCGAAAATGACTAGAAAATCGTTGTGTTTCAGAAGACTTGTCTGCCCGCCGTCACTGCCCACGAGGCGTGCACCTACCGGTCATTCTCGTTCGAGCGTATGCGCAAGACCATTCTCGAGGGATTCGTCAAGAAGACCGTTCAGGTAAGGTATTGAAAGCTATTGGGAGGTCGAAGCCAAAGCTTAAGTCGAAGTCTAAGCCTAAGCCTAAACCTGTGCTCGCCCTATGTCCAATTTCCAGGTTTCCGGCCGCGAGCAATGCCTCTCCACCTGCCTCAAGGAGAAGGAGTTCGTCTGCCGCTCCGTCAACTACAACCACGACACCTACATGTGCGAGCTGAATGCTGAGGACAGAAGAAGCAAGCCGACCGCCCTCTCCATGACCGACATCAACGTCGATTACTACGACAACAACTGCCTGTCCCGTCAGAACCGGTAAGTCTGATGCTTTTGAGCCATCTAATTGCCATTCTAGTTGCGGCCAACAAGGCGGAAACCTCGTCTTCGTCAAGACCACCAACTTCGAGATCCACTTCTACGACCACACCCAATCCGTTGAGGCCCAGGAGAGCTATTGTCTTCAGAAGTGCCTCGACTCGCTCAACACCTTCTGCCGGTTTGTGTCGCTAACTCTCAACTTTTATCGTTTCTTTCCAGCTCGGTCGAGTTCTCGCCCAATGAGAAGAACTGCATCGTCTCCGATGAAGACACTTTCTCCCGTGCCGATCAACAGGGTCAGGTCCAGGCCAAGGACTACTACGAGCCGATCTGCGTTGCCGGTAATTTGATAACTAGTCGGTGCTATAGAATTCCATCCTTTTAGCCGATCTTTCCTCATCCACCTGCCGTCAGCAGGCCGCCTTCGAGCGCTTCATCGGTTCATCGATCGAGGGCGAGGTTGTCGCCTCCGCCCAGGGTGTCACTGTCTCTGACTGCATCTCGTTGTGCTTCCAGAACCTCAACTGCAAGTCCATCAACTATGACAGGTTAGTGAGGAGCTTGTGATGCAGATTTGTGTCTTGCTTGCTGATCCATTTTATCAAAAAAATCGCCCTTTCAGGACAGCCTCGTCGTGCTTCATCTATGCCGTTGGCCGCGCCGACGCCAACATTAAGGCGAACCCGTCGATGGACTACTACGAGTTCAACTGCGAGAGCCAATTCGGTGGCATGGCACTGTGTACCAATGACGGTATCCGATTCATCGTCAACACCAAGGAACCCTACACCGGAGCCATCTATGCCGCCGAGCGCTTCTCCACTTGCAGCCAGGTAAGTGATGTGATATTGGCAGACAGGAGGTGGCAGAGGTTCCCCAAAATTAACTTTATAAAATTGATTTTAGGTCGTCGAAAACGCGAAGCAAATCTCGATCACCTTCCCTCCCCCCGACCGTCTCCTCTGACTGCGGAACGGTGATCCGGGACGGCAAGATGGAGGCGCTGGTCGTCGTCTCGCTCGATGGTGTCCTTCCCCATCAAGTCACCACCGAATGGGATCGATTCTACCGCGTGTCGTGCGACGTCTCGATGGACAAGATGACCAAGGAGGGATCCGTTGTCGTCACCACCATCTATGAGGCCAAGTACGTTAAGATTTGGCTGTTTTTGAGATTCAATCATATCACAGGATTTTATACGCTAACTTGATTTGTAAATTAGACTTCACCATTCCTTTTCAGCAACCAGAAGACGCAAGTGCTGGACACCGCCACCCCACCCCCGGTCACTGCCACGCTCACCTTCTTCAACCAACTTGACGAGCCCCTTGAGAAGGTAGGGCACAAATGTATGGCCTGAATTTGAGTGCGTTCAGGCTTCGATTGGAGACCCGCTGCTGATGGTCATCTCCTCGGATCAAGCCGGCCCGCACAACATGATGGTCACCGAGTGCACGGCCACCAGAATCGGCGGACGCGGCGAGTCTGTGCCCTTCACGCTCATCGAGAATGGGTAAGGCACCGGCTCTCTCTCCTTCTCTCTCTCTCTCTCTCTCTCTCTCTCTCTCTCTGTCTCTCTTTCTCTCGCTCTCTCTCGCTCTCTTTCTCACTATCGTGATTCCAGATGCCCCCGCTACCCGGCCCTCGTCGGCCCCGTAGAGCAAGACTTCGACAAGAACAGGCTTAAGGTAGGTGGAATACTTTTCATGCTCCTGCTCTTTTTCTCATGCTTTTATCAGAAACCATAAAAATCCTTTATTTTTAGTCTGAAGTCCGCGCCTTCCGCCTCGATGGCTCGTACGATGTGCAGGTGATGTGCACCGTCATGTTCTGCGCTGGACCCAACGGATGCCCCGTGGTAGGCGATGAACGGATTTCTCACCCAAGTTCTCGAATTTTTTATTTTGGTTCCTTAAAAATCTCGTTTTCCAGTCGAACTGCTTGGACTCGGGCACCAACGAGCTGTTCACGTCGCACGGCAGGAAGAAGAGGTCGGCCCTGGCCGAGACTTCCGAGGAGCACACCGCTGAGACGCTTTCCGGTAAGTTTAAGTGTATCAAACCACCACCATGTCCCTATCTTCAGCCATCATCCGCGTGCTGGCCAAGGGCGAGGAGGAGGACAACATGGGAATTAATGGCAACGCTTCTGATATTCACCGGTACGTGCTTTAACTAGCTTGCGGAACTTTCCGTTTTTCTAGAAGCCGTAAAACCCTCCAAAAATTCCAAAAACCCGCCCTTTTTCAGACCTTGGCCCGCGGACACGGTGTGCGTCTCCGAGACCGGGTTCGTCTGTGCCGTCGTGTCAGCATCTGTTGTCTGCCTTCTCCTCTCTGCCCTCATCGTCGTCTATGGCTGCCACGCCCTCCACCGCGACGAGAAGCTCCCATCCACCCGAAATGACGTCTATTAATGCGCCATTCGCTCCCAAAATCATCGATCGCCTCTTTCCCCCCAACAACGGGTCCCCCATCCCTCAAACAATCAATAATATGCCTTGATCCAATTTGCTTGTCTCGCTACGCTACTTGGTGCTTCGCGGTTAATTGCCGTCCCGAAAATCTCTCTGTTCCGCCCCCATTCCGCCACATTCCAACCACTCGAATTCCGAAGAATCTGATCCCATCTTAATAATCTATTTTTTTTTCTATCGAGTATTAGATATTTTTATGTGCAATAAATGTTATTATAAAATAGGTATGTACATTTTATTAACATTTCAGCACCGTGTCCATATCAAATGCATAGGCTGCTGTTTTGGCCGGATCTCGATGACTTTTTGAGGGTAAAAAGGGTAGTCGCCGAAGTATGGGCATTTTGTCTAGACCACTGAGAACAAGGTGAAAAATTTGCAAATACAACTAGGCTTACCTATCCACCCAATCTGGTAGTGCAAATCCATCTAGCGGGAATTCGGCTTCTTCCTCTTCACCAGCTAGCCCGCGATCTTTTCGGCTGGCACCTATAGGCTTTATTTTGAAATTTATCGGCTTTTTAGTTTCCAGCAAATACTCTGCTAGCATGTTTTTTAATGGCTTTCCGGTGCTCTGATTGCCATAACATAAGGTCTGCACACCCACCTGGCACCAAATTGTCCATCAAAAATGCGAACAACCCGCCGATCAGCATCTGAATCCTGAGCAACATGTTCAACACCTCATCCCAGGTATCGCTACCTGGAATCTAAGTGTTGCGAGAAGTCTAACACAAACCGGTCCGGATTGGGCTCTTTGTAAAGTGCGAGGGGACGACCAACCCCAGCAACAAGGCCAGACCCATAATGGCTAGGTTACGAGTTTGAGAGAGGTTGACTACCTGAAAGCTAGTCTATCAATGTCATCCGATCTGTCTAGCTTATCAATGATACAGCCAAAGTTGACTAGGATGCTGCCAGATTTAGAAGAACCTACCTTTAGATTTGATAGCGCCACACCAGCTATCATACTCATCCCTAGACACAAAATCGATCCGATCAAGGGATCCGGAATGCAGGCAAGTATTGCCGCCAACTGAAAAGAGCTTTTTAAATGATCGAAGCCTAAAGCAACGTTGATTATAACACCCTCAACAATAATAACTGGCTTCTCCGCAATTTTTGAAGGATACACCCCACTTACCTTCGTAAAAAGCCCCAGCGCCACTGACAACACACCAGCCAATTGGACGGTGACACGAGATGCCACCTAGAGATTATAGAATATCTCGTGAATACCTTGACCACCTTTGTAATATGAAGGAGGGCGATATTTTCTGCATATGTAGTTACCCCAGTGGAGACACCAAGTGAGGCAGCCAGCATACTGCCAAGACCTGAATGCGTTAAGAACGATTTCTATGGTTTTCTAGCAGCCAAAGGTATGAGCCCATTCTTTAAATCAATCATCAAATACCCACCCTCAACCATGACGGCTCGATTGACATTGTCAACCGGTGGATTTCCTTGATGCGAAACTCTAGCACCCATTTTATACGAGCCGACATTCTCGATAACTGATGACAATACAGAGGCGACAAATCCCAGACACAACGCCGTATTCACGCGGAATCCACCGTACTCGCCTTAACCATTTGAATTCTTCTTTATCCCGTGGAAAGGTACCTGGATACGGTACTTTTACCCATGGTGCGTTAGCAATCAGTCCATGGGTCTCGTTTCTATAATATGGTATAGAAACAGCTGTAAATAATGTCATACCTTTTGGTGGAAGCCGGTGAATCATCACTGATGATAGCCGCTGAGGAGAGGATATAGCAAATAAACCAGGCGATGCCAAGGGACAGTAAGTACTGCAAAAATCTTGTATACGTGGCTTTTTTAGTTTTATTAGATTTAGTAGATTTTTATTTACCAGATCCATACACACTTGAAAAAAACAGCGAGTTGAAAGAACGAAATTACTTACCGGAAATTGTCCAAACAGTGGCGTCCTGGCGACAGCCATCCTTCGCTTTCCCAAGGAGTAATATGGGATCGGAACCTGGACATGCTCAAGAAAAACGACAAACACAACAAGCAGTACTAGTTCTCTAAACGAAAGTTATTTCCATTGAAAGTTTTCCTACACTATGGCCATATAATGTGAGCTGAGCTTCTCCTCGATTGTTGGCACCGTGGAGATGGCAAGGAGGGTGAGAAGGGGTACTACAATAATATATCGTATTAAAATTTCCCTGATCTTTTTGGACGGTTTGAAACGCACCTATCGTAATCGGGCCGACATGCCGGGCAAACAATCCGACAGCGCCTGTAGCTCCGATCAGGATGAACACACAACAAGCAATCATTAGACTCCCGGAAAGCTGCAATTTAATCATCAATTCCATTAGAGTGTTTTGTCAGCCAAAGGCCATTCCCCAACACCGGGCTACACTCATTTTCTGACAACGTTCAGAGCGGCCGACTGTAGGTGGTCGGGTTTTAGCAAAGGTTTTAGAAGGTTTTAGAAAGGTCGGGTCCGTTGTCGCTTACCGTAGCCAGCCTGCCCTGCCATTCCTCCTCCGGCACATACGAGTCACCGGCTGTGCATTCACCATTTAGCGTCCTACACGAGAAAATTAGAAAAAGGTAAGACTTTATTTTACCCCACCCCCCCCTCTTACAGCCGAAGTATCTCAAATTTTTCGGTATTTTCGCTGGTTCGTCGGCATTTTTGCAACGCCATTCGATAGAGCGTCAAAAACGATACTAAGAGTTTTAATTTGAGCTTATGTAAAATAAAAGTTATAGCGAAAACATTCCAGTTGGGGGGGTAAAGTAAAGTGTAGCCAAAAAATCACGTTTTCAGACTTTTGCGACTTACTGGTACGCCTGGATTGGGGCCAAGAAGGCTAATGAGGTGCCGTGAAGGATTGCCAGTCTAAAAAACGTTGAGCCGAAGGTAAGAATGAAAGTACCGTAACCCAAAAGTGCTCTGGATAAACGTGGCTATGCCACCAGACACGAAGGTAGCAGAGATCAAATTGACACTGGAAAATTGCAGCGTTTGTTAAAATAAGCTGAACCCACCGTAGCCTTGCCGTTGCCTGCCCGGCACAAACTGCTTCAGAAACGAGAAATGGAAAGATCAGATACCCAGAAAGAGCCACCATCGATTGCTAAAGCGGCATTTTGCAAAATACCGTACCACCGACCTGAAAAGCAAGAAACAGGGCATAGAATGGTTTTGGGACATCGTTGACCCCGAGAAGGAGCTGGCCGCTCGCCGAGAAATCACCCGAATCTTCCGACGTTGACAGTGTCCGCTTCTCCCGCATTTTGGGATAAATATAAAACGCCCTGCAAATAGGTATTCCATATAATATATATAAAAATAGGTATAAAAACTATAGATATTCTGGACATGCCATAAATACCAAATTTTACAAAACGAAAATTAGGATGATGAGAGCTAATCCCTTGATGATTAGAATTGCAATTTTTGCGGATAACCAGCTAGCAGAATTTTTTGGGAATAACCATAGAAAAATTATGTGCCTATAAGTATTAAAATATTAATATTAATTGGCATTGTCAGTATCGAAATCGATGGGAAAACCCCGGTTCGTGTCGGGTTTGTTTGTGTTCCCAGGGTGCGATTATATGGGTTGAGGGGGGAGGAGGAGGAGGAGGAGGACGAGAAGGATTATCGGTTGCCCCGGTTCGACAACCCACGTGAAAATGATCGGGGATGGAAATCGGGTGGCGAAAACGGGAACGAAAGTTAGATCGTCAAACAGAATGAACACCACATAAAAATGGTGCGACCAGTTTAAGGATATCGATCAATGTTCAGAACAGACTAGAGGTCAAGAGACTAGACTAAAGAATTATTAAAGGGGCAAAGAAGTGGGAAAAATCGAGTGAAAGCGGCAAGCGAAGAGCGGAGCGCTTTACGTCGACGGCTTCTGTACCCAGAGCGCGGGAAGTCCCTAAAATTTGAAATTTGCCGTCGTCACCTCCAAAGCACGTTCTCGGCTCTTTCTGCGACAAATTCAATGATTAAAACACCAAAATTAAAATGGAGTGACGAGCTTATAAATCCGTTCAGGATCTGCGAATTATAGTGTATTCACAAAAAAATCAGGTAAAACAGTCGCGCGCAAAAAATCGTGAGAGTGAGGGCTCTCGTCTCGTCATTTGCCTGACATCAAATGCCCTTCCCAAGAGCTTTGATTTAGCACTCCGTTCCCTCTTTAAGCTATAAGCGCTCCATTTCATTTTACAGGTCACTACAATACACTGCGGAATATCAGGATGTTTGACAACATCCGGTGAGATGAATGGCATATTAAAGCGTGTGAAAAATTAACAATATGGGAAGCTTCGCTAAAAAGCTCATGTGTAAGCATTAAATTGACGAAGGCGCATCTCGTACACCTATAAATACCTCCAAACCGTTTAAAGATTAGCATTCGTAGAACGCCAAACCCTGACTCAGCCGCGACCCGTCTACTCATGGTCCCATCGCCAAATTCAGTAAATAGGAGCGATAGAGAGAGAAGAGAGAGAGACAGAGAGAGAGACACAGAGAGAGACACAGAGAGAGAGCACCGGGCCGATCAAAACGTTGTCCTCTTTGTATAACATAATCGCTATCGGTAATGCCCGACTCTAAAATTGAGTCATAGCTCCCGAAAAGCCGAAAAGCCGAGCTGCCCTAGGGCTGGTGGGTGGAACGACCTGAAAGATATTCGTTGCACTACACACCCGATCTCTGCGCCCATTTTTGAGTGGCTGATAAGCCGATTACATGGCCACCGCCGGCAGTTTCCGCCCGCAAGTAGGAAGTGGTTTTTTTTGGGGGGAATATTTTGCTTGTCGCGCTGTCAAGGGCTATTTGGTGCTTCGCGTTTAATGGCCGTCTGGGAAATGTCATGTACCCTGATTCCCCGACATTCCAACCAACAGAATTCCGACGAAACTGAACAATACAGGGAGTCCCAAAACCCCTCACCGTCCCCCTCGACTTGGCAGTCTTCCATCCGATCGGGACCAAATTTTTATCAGCGATTGGGAATTATAAAGCCTATGTGCAGCCGGATTTTCTAAAGAAAATATTGTCAAATGAAAAAGTTATCGCTAAAAAACTGATTTTTGGACAACGCCGGTACACTGATCTTTGGCTATGTTTTCGCAACTAACATGCCGATCTTGAATAATTTTCCCAAAAATGGTCATTTTGGTCTCGGTTTCCGTCACCTTTGATATTAAAACATAATTAAAAATTTAGAAGTAATTTTCGTAAATGAAAAAATTTTTCCGGGTAGTAAAAAGTTAAGTAAGTAAAGTAGTTCGTTTTTGCTAAACATTTCGAGGTCCAAATCCATCAAAATCCCAGTGAAAGCAAAACAAACCTTATTAGCCCTATAACTTTTAGGTTTTACAAAATTTTCCTTAGAAAACTCGGCTTGCATATAGTTTTTATGGTTACCCATCGCTGGTAAAAATTTGGTCCCGTTCGGATGCAAGACGGCCAAATGCCGAGGAGGGGTTTTTTGGGACTCTCTGTATATTGGTCTCTAGTTTTTAGCTATGTTTTTTGTGTGCAATAAATGTTATTAAAATGAGATATGTACATTTTATTAACACTTCAGCACCGTATCCATATCAAACGAATATGCAGCTTCTTTGGCCGTGTTTCGATGACTTTTTGAGGGTAAGAAAGGTAGTCGTCGGAGAATCGGAAGTTTGTCTAGGCCCCTGAAAAGAAGATTGAGAGTTAGGGGAAACCTACCTATCCACCCAATTGGGTAGTGCAAATCCATCAAGGGGGAATTCCGCTCCTTCCTGATCGTCATCATCGGCTAGCCCACGATCTTTCCGGCTAGCACCTTTAAACGGCTTTGGCTCGGGCATAAATTTTTCAGTGAAAGCCTCATGAGGCACAGGGAGAGACAGACGAGAAGAGAGCGGGTGAGAGAGACAGAAAAAATAAGAGCAAGAGATATCATACCAACCTGGCACCATGATGTCCATCAAAAAAGCAAATAGTCCACCGATCAGCATCTGGATTGTCAGCAACATGTTCAGCACCTCATCCCAGGTATCGTTGCCTACAAAACACAACGAACCCTAAGAAATTTGGCGATTAATTACGAATGGCGGAGAATGGCTGAAAAAATGGCTACACGGAACAAACCAGTCTTGATTGGGCTCTTGGTGAAGTGAGAGGGGATGACCAGCCCGAGCAACAAGGCCAACCCCATAATGGCCAGATTACGAGTTTGCGAGAGGTTGACTACCTGAAATTCTGCGCGTAGCAAGAACACACGGTTTGGCCCATTAATCAATGATTAAACGGCGCAAACTCTTTTAAAGAACTTACCTTTAGATTTGACAGGGCTACCCCAGCTATCATACTCATCCCTAGACATAAAATCGAGCCGATCAACGGATCCGGAATGCAGGCAAGTATTGCTGCCGACTAAAAAAGTATGAAAAGTCTATAATTGTTTCCTAAAATAATGCTCTCTCTTACCTTCGTAAAAAGCCCTAGCGCCACTGACAACACACCAGCCAATTGGACTGTGACACGAGATGCCACCTATATTGGATTAGGAGGGAATTATCTTTAATACCTTTGTAATATGGAGGAGAGCTATATTTTCAGAATATGTAGTGACTCCAGTGGAGACACCTAGTGAAGCAGCCAGCATACTGCCCAACCCTAAAATGGCCTAACTGGGTTTCTACCTCAAGATTACCCTCAACCATGACGGCTCGATTGACATTGTCGACTGGTGGATTTCCTTGATGAGATACCCGAGCACCCATTTTATACGCTCCAACATTCTCGATGACTGATGACAATACCGCGGCCACAAACCCCAGGCACACAGCTGTATTCACGCGGAATCCACCGTACTCTCCTTAAAAAAATGGATTCGAAGGTCAGCCATGCTTTCCGTTCCGCTACTCTGCCCAACCTGATACCTGGGTACGGCACCTTGACCCATGGCGCGTTGGCAATCAGTCCGTGGGTTTCGTTTCTGCAAAATACAATCGAACATATACAGGGTGTCCCAAAAAAAACGAACCATCTGGCATTTCGCCGTCTTCCATCCGATCGGCCCCAAATTTGGACCAGAGGTGTATCATACCTTAAATAACAACAATCCTGACTTACAGTCCTGTGGCTATAGTGGTTCTCGAGTTATAGCAAAAACAAACATTATTTTTCATTTTTCATAGGGTTTTCGTGGAATTAGACCCCCTAAACATGAAGTGAAAATGATCCAGTAGGGCTTCTTTACCTTAAGAAATTTTTTCCAGATCAAAATTAATCAAATACGCTTCGATTTAAGCGATTTTTATAACGCAAAATTACCCAAGATCTTAAGCAAAATTAGGGATTCGCAGCCGCAAGTCGATGCAAATCGATGCAAAGTCCAAAAAGAAGCCGATAAAACTGTTCAGAATTCTGGGAAAAACAGTATTTTCGTTATAACTTTAAAACTACTGTAGCTATGGGGCTGTAAGTCAGGATTGTTGTTATTTAGGATCTGAAACACCTCTGGTCCAAATATGGGACCGATTGGATGTAACACGGCAAAATGCCAGATGGTTCGTTTTTTTGGGACACCCTGTAGATAACAATTCCAAAAAATTTGTTTTTACCTTTTCGTCGAAGCCGGCGAGTCATCACTGATGATGGCAGCTGAGGAAAGGATATAGCAAATCAGCCAGGCGATTCCAAGAGATATCAAGTACTGTAAGGGACAGAAAAGTCATAGCTACCCTATGGGACCTGCTTATGATCCGGTAAACATATTGGCCAAGGAAAACCCAACCGGAAATTGTCCAAATACAGGTGCTCTGGCTATCGCTATCTTTCGCTTCTCCCAGGAAAAATACGGGATCGGGACCTGAAAGTCCTCGAGGAACACGACAAAGATGATCAACAAGACCAGCTCTCTGAAAATTCGATATATTCTTTTCCTGCCCCTACACTATGGCCATATAATGTGAACTGAGTTTTTGCTCGATTGTCGGTACTGTAGAGATGGCAATCAGGGTGAGGAGGGGTACTGTAATAGATTGCTAAATTCAAATTCAGGTATATGTCGGTTATGCGGGGGGGGGGGGACAATTTTATGCGGGGGGGACGGGACAGGCAGGCTTTTTTCGATGTTTTCGTTATTTTTTCGGAATTTTTGCAACGGCATTCGATAGAGCATCGAAAAATATACTAAGATTTTTTGTTTTAGCTCAAATTAGTGTAATATAAAAAAGTTATGGCAAATACAAAAATAAACTTTGAAAATCGGGTTCAGCGGCTGTTTTTCAACCTTCGCGCTATTTTTTTGTCATTTTAAAGATGCCATTCGATAGAGCCTCCAAAAATATACTAGGAGTTTTAATTTTAGCTCAAAATAATGTAAAATAAAATAGTTATAACAAAAACAAGTATTAAACGTTGTTTCCATGGAGGACATAGAAGGAAATCAAGTTTTCGACATTTTCGACATTTTTACAAAATTTCTTTAGTGCCATTCGACAAAGCATCAAAAAATATACTAAGAGTTTTGTTTTTAGCAAAAAGAAACGCAAAACAATAGTTAGCTCGGCCCCAACAGTCCGTCCCCCCCGCGTAAAATCCCCCCCCCCTCGCTTCTACAAACCTATCGTAATCGGTCCGACATGCCTGGCAAACCATCCGACAGCTCCTGTGGCTCCGATAAGGACGAACAGACAGCAGGCTGTCATTAGACTCCCGGAAAGCTGCAATTTATGCATCAATTCCATTCGAGTCTTTTGTCAGCCAAAGACCATTCCCCATCACCGGGCTACACTCATTTCCTGATAACGTACTTCGGCGCGCGCTAGTTGTACCTCAACTGACGGCGAGAAATTTTGCTATTAGACACGTGCACACACGTTGTAGCCTACCAGGCCAAGGGAAACCGCCTCTGATTTAAGTTTCGTTACATGTTCCTACCGTCGCTAATTTAATATGCCATTCCTCCTCGGGTACATAGGTATCATCCCCAGCTGTACACTCGCCAAGCGAGACTCTACAAGGTCGAAAAATTAAATCCGGCCATCTCAAACTTACTGATATGTCTGTATTGGAGCAAGGAAAGCCAGTGAAGCGCCGTGTAGGATGGCAAGTCTGAAAAGTTCATTGTTGCCCCTAATTTCCGGGTAATCTACCGCAAACCGAAGGTGCTTTGTATAAAGGTGGCTACGCCGCCCGAAATGAAAGTAGCTGAGATCAGGTCAACACTAGAAACAAGGTGGCGATTTTATTTAAGCCTACGCTCCTACCGTAGTCTTGCCGTCGCATTCCCAGCACAGACTGCATCAGCAACCAGAAATGGAAAAATTAGATATGCCGAAAGGGCGACCATCGCCTGCTAAAAATCACGCAATTCATGGCAAGGTTGGGCAAACTTGCTTGAAAAGCAAGAAATAAGGCGTAGAACGGCTTTGGAACATCGTTGACACCGAAGAGAAGCTGGCCTTCCGAAGGGCCGTTTCCCGAAGATTCCGAGATGGATATTGTCGTTTTATCCAGCATTTTTGTTAGATAAGTTTTCTGAAAAGGATTCTCACTAATAGCTCATTTAAAAAATGATGATGAAAAAATGAAGAGAGACTGATTTAAAATCTAGCAGGGTTAGGTATTTGGTAAGACTCCAGATAACCCCCCTAGCCGGCCCCCAACTTTTGTATCTCGGCCGCCTGTTCATCTACAGGTGTGTAGAGTATACCAAAATGTTCTTCTTGGTCTGGCGAGTATTTTGGTATACTTTACACACCTGTAGATGAAGAGGGAGCCAAGGTACGGTAGACGGGGGCCGGCTGGGGGGCTATCTGGAGTTCAGCCAGGTATTTATTTTATGTGTAAAATTTAAAGACAGCCGTCAAAACAGACGCTGCCACGGTCTGCCTCCCGGGCTTAAATTAAGTCATAGCTCCTGCCAAACCAAATAATAATAGTTGCACTCGCAATGGGCGGTGGGTGGCCGATGCGGTGGCAGAATGGCCGCTAGATATTCCGGTTGCACTGACCCAATCTTTTTCCCTCGCTGATAAGCCGCTTTCACTCAGATCAATTTCTTCGGTTGGCATCTAGGAATTGGTCTTTTAAGGATGGCCATATCTCGAAAAATAACGTCATCGAAATTCGTGGATGTGGCCTTGATTTCTACGCAATTCTACGCATTGGGCTCCACCTTAGAATCCTTCAAACTTCTTACCCTTACATAAACATAATCATAAGGTTAACGCTGTGTGGATTATCTGAATTTACTACTTTGAAGCTACTCAAAATTCCATTTTCGGAAGGTATCAAAATTAGGTACCATCGCACACTTAAAATTAGCGGCAATAAGGCACTAAGCAACGCGGCGCTCCTATCGACTCAAAAATATATGGGGCTCAAACTTCTAGGCCTTATAACTTTAAAACTAGAGCGAAAATGAAAAAAGCGTGTTCCAATTTGTAGAATGGAGCATGGTGATGCGAATGATACCAAGCACTAAGAAAACCGAGTCCAGAAATTATCAAAGCGAGGGCGGTTTTGGTTGGCGAATTTGTGAAAAGTGGTGTTTCGGAGGGCTAACTTGCTGTATTTGGTATCATTCGAACCGTAAAATTCTACTCTATTGGATTTTCAATATTAAGCCGATTTGAAAAAGTTATAAGAGCTTAAACATTTTGGCGTCCGCTACGCCCAGTTCCTATCGACTCTTTTGCCCCTCACGGCAAATTTCCGTTTTTGGCCTGTTTGATTGACCATGCATCGGACAAAACTACGCTACAGAGAGCTACGCTACGCGCCAAGCGACATTGGCTCCCTAGATTTTGCCCGTTTGCTAGCCCCATTTCAAACTTGCCGAGTTCCTTGTCCATACCTTAAAACGTTAAACACGATAGGGATACTCGAGGCGTATTGTTTATTTTCGCTGGCCGCCCCAGCAGCATCAGCCGGAACGCAGACAAGACTGATAAAACTATTGACCGCTTCCGATCCGGGCAACCCTCATTTTCGGCGCAATTTCAATGGGGCGCTGGGGCTTGGAATTCATCTTTTACTGTTATTTCCTATGTATTGTGCGTGCTAACTTGTTGGGGGTGTCCAGTCATACTGTTGCCGTCAAGGGGCTGCTGCAATGCGGAGAAGTGCCGGCTTTTGGTGTCATGGTTCGGTTGTTTCAGAGCGGCAAAGGTATGCTTAGGTTTAGGTTTAGGTTTAGACGAGTGATCGAGTAAAAATTAAACATTTACTGGAATAGAATACATCAAAAATAGGTTTCCGGTCTCACAACGCTAGATCAAACTATCCAAATTTAAGGCAAAAATCAGCCAACCCTTGCCGAGACGTTCGCGACGAAAGAAGGCACTTTCGAGCTGACCGCAACCCTTGATCACGTTTTCCACCCAGATATTGTCGTCTACCATGACTGCAACGACGGCAAGAAGGTCACAAAACCAAGTTTCCACAATACTTTCAACACTTTGCAGCTGGGCCTTCGTCGTTTCCACTTTCGCGTCCCCGAGCATTATGTAACTGCCGGGTCTAAAGCGCAAAAGGTACTCAATTCCTAATCATATCATTTCGTTTTTAGGTGTTTGACTTGGGAAAGATTAACCTGGAGTTTAAACCTTACAATGAGGAACGCTCAAATCAACATCGACGACGTCGAAACAAGGAAGTTGTAAGATTTTTTTCATGTTGAAATAGTCTTTTAATCCACGTATTCTGGGCCACTCCACGGAAGTATTCATCAGCAAAAATATTCCAGGTATCCTGCGATCAATGTACGATCGAGGAAACCGTCAAAATAGACGAATCCGCCGAAGCGACGACACGAAAATCCAAGTTCCACGGCCTCGACGAGAGCCCCGAGGCCAGAATCGATCCCTGGTAGTTGCAGCTCTCACCGGAAATACACAAATCAATTTATCGCATACACGAATAAATGACAGAAATTAAGCGGGAAATGAGTCGAATCGATGGGGGCGCGGTAAAAGCTTCTGCATGGAGGCTTGAGGAAAGACAGGGCATCTAAACAGTCGAAGAGGCCCAAAAAAGAGGGCGGGGAGATCACAGAATGCCGGATTTGTCGGACAGGAGGAAAAAGCAAAAGGAAAACGGCAAAAATGCCCCGAACCGGGATCGAACCGGTGACCTTTAGATCTTCAGTCTAACGCTCTCCCAACTGAGCTATCGAGGCGCTGGGGTAGGGAGCGGGCGGTGGCCCTATGAGAGGTGGGGGAGAGGGGATATGCGGTGTGGGAGAGTGGGGGGAGGGGAGTGAGGCGCAGACAACGAGGGGGTGTCTCGGGTTGGCCAAAGTGAACGAGCAATGGAAAAAGAGGGGGAGCGAAAGGGTAGTTTCCGGGCTTTTCGGTGGATTGAAAATAAAACGCAATAGGCATTAATGGATAGATATTTAATAGGTTATAATTAGGAAACAGACATTTTAAAATGGATATTTTTTGGTGTTTTATAGATTAAGAGTACAGTTTACTTCCCCGGGGTCGGTCCCCAACTTTTGTATCTCGGCTCTACGTTTGTCTACCGGGTGGTAAAATATAGCAAAATACTCGCCAGAAGAAGACGAACTCTTTGACATACTTTACAACAATATAGCCAACAGGGAGCCAAAGACAAGAGGAGCGGAGGCGCGGGGTAGATTAAAGTTTCAAATAGCGTGCTAATACTTTCAAGACCACAACCATCTCTCCATTCAATCGATATGTCACTTCTTTTGGCCGCAAGTGCTCGGCGTCACCGAGAAGTTGTTCGCGTATTTTTCTTTCGGCGAAAACGAGGCGCCGTACTGGGACGAGTTGGAGTTGCGCTGGGCGAGGTGGTACCGATTGGATTGGTCATCTGGAAATTGATGGTTATTTCCGGGAGCTTGTAGTTTGTAGTGTAATGGACAGCAGAGTAAATTGAGGGTATAAAAGAACATACAAAAAATTAGAAACTACTATAAATGGGTAAGAAGGCAGTTTTCCCTTCACCCCAGCCGGCCCGCAATCTTTGTATCTCGCCCCCCCCCGTTGGCCTAAAGTTGTGTAAAGTATACCAAAATATTCCCCTTGGCCTGACGAGTATTTTGATATACTTTAAAACCTTTAAAAAAGGGAGCCGTGATACAATAGATGGGATCGGTTAAGCGCTGGTAAACTGCGCGAACTTGTTAATTCCTATGAATCTGTTAGAAGTCCTTTGATGTACTGTTGTCGCGCAACGTAGCGTGGCGTACTGGGTTAGTGAAGCTAAAGCTAATAATTTCCGCTGCCTATCTAGGGGCGCCCTACTTACACAAAGGATACTGACTCTTGTCCACCGTCCAGTTGCGCCCATTCTTCTCGGCCTTCGCCTTCTGCTCGGCCTGCCAGTATTGAGCGTATTCCTTCGAGTAGTGATTGGAGCTCGGGTCTAAAAGATGGTATTACAATATGCTCTAGGTATCCTAGGGGGTAATGCACACAAAAAACCTTTTTAAGGCCCACCACTGTTCCTTTTCCGGCGGTTTCGCGGTGATGAATAGTCGTAGAAATGGGGTTCCTTTGTCATTGATGAGCCCATTTTCTAGAAAGTGACGGGTTATAATAGCTATATAAAGTCATATTAAGAAAATAATAGGCAGAGAAAAGGGTGGACACGAATTTTGTATAATAATCGGGGAATATAAGGTGCAAAAAACCCCCTACCTAGCGGCTCGCAGTCGTGTCTGTTTTTTACGATTTAGCTATCTATCGAAAGCTCTCGAAAAGGCGCGAAAACAACGAGGGTTCATTTTCTTTATTATGTATTTTTATTCGCTAAATTTAGGTCCAAAAACCATGAAAACTGCTGATTTATGCAAGATCCGCATGCTAATTGCGAAATTGCTGTGGAAAAGTACCGGTTTTCTAGAAAAACCTTAAATATCGATGGAATAAAATTAAATCTTAGAAGAACGAAACCCCCCGCTTGTTTTCTCGCCCTTTTCATGAGCTTTCGATTGATAGTCAAATCGTTAAAATCGGACACGACTGCGGACCGCTAGGCAGGGCGGGGGGTTTGGGACACCCTGTATACCTTCAACTCCTACCCCACCCCCTGTTCGATCGCGGAAGTTGTCATTTAACAAAAACACAAAGGTGAGAACCGGAACACCCGCCGTCGTTTGAAGATGTTTGAAGGTGTGTTAGGGCAAGTGTTCTAGATGGGCTGATTGCTTGAGACCACCAGGGAGAGGGAAGGAGAAGCCCCGATCGAGTGAACAGCGGAACAGGCGGATCCGCCACCTATCCCCCCCCCCCTGCTCTAACCCGGATCCATCATATTCAACTGACGACACTTTGGCCTCAACGTCAGGGCCCTAACAGCCAAGGCTCTCAAGAG